GCACTCAAAGGCTTAATATTTAGAAGGTCCCCTTCATCGATGTTATCCTCTCCCGGTTGCGCTTTCTGGTTGTATTTGCCAGTCTATTTATACCATAGGTTAGGCCTTCTAAGTTTGGTCCTATTTTGTATCTTAAGATCTTTATGGTTTTTGAATTTACTCCTAATCCTCTGATTTCACTTTGTGTTAGTTTTTGTGTATGTTGTGAGATATGCATCCTGCTTCAGCTTTCTGCAGGTAGGTAGAAAGATCCAGTTTTGCCAGCACACCAAATGGCAATGGGGTTTTTTAAAAAATGACTTTGAAATTTAAGAAAATATCATTCAGAAGAGGTTGATGCTAGCAGGACGCTTTGGTTGTAATTATTACTATTTGTAGTATTTAATACTTGCATTAAGAAAAAAATGAATAATTATTTGGAAACTGCATTAAATGACTACTTTTCATCTGGAGCCTTTCATTTCTTCTGCCTTCCTTTGCCTGCCCTCTAGTGGTAGTACTTTAGTGTAGTTAATTAATTAAAGGCGCTTGGAAGCAAGAGAGCAAGAGTGGCATCCACTTCCTAAATATTTTGCCTCTGGAAACTATAAATTTGGAGAAACAAAGAAAGTTATGCAAGTGTTCAGGTCTTTCATTCTTGGGTCGCTATGGGTCATCTACGACTCGAGAGCACTTAACAACAACATAGATGGAGTACTCCAGACTTCCCCTAGATTTCTCTGTTTTTCCTAAATTCCTTGCAGCCAACCACTCTTCCCTGTATCTCAATGACCGTCACCCCCAACTGCTATAAAGTTGACTCTGAGTCAGAGGCCCCGTATAGGACAGCGTAAAACTGCCTCATATGATTTCCAAAGGAATGCAGAGCTGACTTTCACCAGCAGAGTAGCTGGTATATTTGAACTGTCAATTTTTTGTTCAGAAGACAAGCATTAATCACAGTGCCACCATTCTGCTAAGTACTGTTTTATCTCTATGTCTCTGGGAAGAAGAATTTGCAAGATAATGTCCTTAAGTACCTGCTGTAAATTAAGGAATCTTAGCGTAAAAATGAGATGAGAAAATGTAACTGTTGGTTATTTTCTCTATGCTTGAACATTGAAGAAGATTCCACTTCTCCCAAAGATTTCCACTTTTAAATGGATGAGTCTAAAGAGTAAAAGAGGGGTGATAGACACAGCAGGGACTTTGGAATGGTTCCTGGAGCTTACCTAGAGGCGTCAAGTATGTGATTAGGAAAAAGCTAGAATTTTCTCTGGGAATGTATCACACTTGACCTGAACACTTACATGCTGAGAGAAGTTGTATCAATTGAATGCCTAAAGGAGGTGCTTTCTCTTTAAAGATGCACTTTTTGAAAATATTTGAAGAGTAAAGAAATCTTCAAATTATACTCCCAGCCTATCATCTCTTGTTTGTTGTTAATCTTCAAAAAGTTTTGCATTCATTTCCTTAAAGCAGAGGTCAGCAAACTGTTGCCAGGAAACCAAATCTGACCCTCCATATATTTCTATAAGATCTACAAGCTGAAAAATAGAGGATTTTCTTTATTTTATATTTTTAATGATTAATAAAAATAATCCCATTGTGAGAGATGTGCAAATTAGCTGAATTTCATTTTCTTTGGTCCACAAGTACTGTTTTGTTGGGAGACAGCCATCCTCATTTAATTAGAAATTGTCTATGACTACTTTATAGCTGTAAGATCAGAGTTCAGTGTTTGTGACAGAGACTCGTTCATCAACAAAGCCCCAAATTCTTACTCTCTAGCTTTTAACCCAATATATATGCCAGTCTGCGACTTAGAGCCAAGTTCACCTTTTTTTTTTTATCACAGTCATATCGCACATAATGTGTGATGTGGCCACCTAGTGTCTGAGATGTGAAAACACCACTCTAAGCAAAGGAGGAAGATGCAGCCAATGTTGTTAATGCCATCAAGTAGAATAGTACTCAGAGTGGTGACCTTACGAACAGCATCTCTGACCCTTGCCCTCTCCTGCACCATTCTCATGATCTCCGAAATGCTTGAGACCATTGTTATAGCCCTTGTGTCAATCCATGCCAACAAGTAAAGTTTAGAGAAGTTTGTACCTCTTGTCAAAATTGAAAGGAATTCCTAGGTGGCATGAATAGTTCAATACTTGATGACTAACCAAGCATTGGCAACTTGAACCCACCCAAGTGTGCTTTGTAAGAACAACCTTCTGATCTGTTTCTGAAAGACCACAGCCTTCTGGTTTATTTACATGAGGTTACCAGGAGCCGGAATCAACTCAACAACAGCTCACATGGATTTTTGTTTGTTTCTTCATGGTTGTTGTTGAATATGACTCATAGCAACCCAATGAACAACATATCTGAACCCTTATCCTGTGCTGTCCTCACAGTCTCTGACACACTTGCACCCATTGCGGCAGCCATTGTGTCAATCTACCTGGTTGAGGGTCTTCCTCTCTTTCATTATACCTCCACCTTCTCGAGCATGATGGTCCTCTCCAATAAATAAATAGCCTTTCCTAGCAACATCCTCAAAGTATGTGAGGTGAAGTTTAGTCTTCTTTGCCTTCGTGGAGCAGTCTGGCTGCACCTCTCCAAGACATATCTGTTTGTTCTTTTGACAGTCCATGAGCTATTCAATACTCTTCTCCAATACCACAGTTCAAAAGCATCAATTCTTCTTAATTCAATGTCCAGTTCTTCACTGCCCACCTTCATAGTGGATCAGAAATATTTATGGACTACTCTGTTTTCTCAGCATGTGGCTGTACATAAGCATCCTGTATTTCCAGTACCCAAAAAATCTAAACTTTTTTTCTCTAATGATTGCAATTCTGTTTGGGGTAGGGCTGGGAGAGAACAAACATATCTTATTGATCAAGAAAAATATCCATTATGCTTTACAAATAAAATATTACTTGTGCAGTGTCTTTATAGTTTACAAAGCATTTTGCTTATAGTATATTATTTGATTTTCATTTTAGGTAGACCAGCAATTATTATCCATTAAAATGAAAGATGAATAGGAGTTCTGCTCATGTGAAAAAGTATGAGATGAACAAACATTGACTTAACATACTTATTATCTTTTACAAACAGATATATCTGCAGGAACATAAATTCAAGAATGCCAAAACATCAGATTTTTGGGATGCACTGGAAAAGGTAAGGAAGAAGATTTCCCAAATATTATCTAAATATTATTAGTCATGCCTAACAATCACGTTCTCATTTAATTATTTTGTCCCTTTGTTTCTCTCATTTGTTGCCTAATTAATTTCTATAATTTTTAAATGTTAGGCAAGTGGTATGCCTGTGAAAGACGTAATGGACACCTGGACTAGACAGATGGGTTACCCTGTCCTTAATGTGAAAGATATGAAGAATATCACACAGAAACGTTTTCTCTTGGATTCTAAAGCCGATCCATCCCAGCCACCTTCAGATCTTGGGTAAGACTCTCTAACATAATAAAAGAGAGAAATAGAAAGTTGGTGAAAATACTTCTCTTATATAGCTCTTCCTCTTCGGTGTATGCTTGATAGATTATAACATAAAGTACCAGCACCTGTAGGGGGGAGAAATACTCAAAAATAGCCGAGTGCTCCCCAGTTGCAAAAGTGTAGACTGAGCACATGCTTCAATACTCTGTTCTTCCAAGATATCACGGCATAAAGTAATGGAATTACTGAGCATAAAAATCTCTACAGAGTGAAGAGGGTAAAGGAGAGGAACTAGATAGATAGATAGATAGATAGATAGATAGATAGATAGATAGATAGATATGATATAGTGATAGAGATAAATATATAGAGATAGATAGATAGATAGATAGATAGATAGATAGATAGATAGATCATGTAATTGTAAAGGAAGGAAAATCCAATAAGAAATAGTGACAGAAAATAAGCTCAGACGAAGCCACATTGTAATAAGGACCCCTGCAGTGACCTTCTCTATCCCTGGGGAGGCTCTGGTCTGTGTAAACATGAAGAACTGAAGACAAGAAAGAGAAATGATACTGAAAAAAACCAATTTAATTCATTGCAAGTCTAGGCATAGGACAACTTTATTAGTCAGCCTCTTCACCTTCACCTCTTTTCCTCCACTTTTTTCTTTCCTCTATACAGAATTCCCAGAAGTCAAGCATTTTCCCCGGGTAGGGGGGGCGGGAATCAGGGTTTATTTGTTTATTTTTTTCTAAATGAAATAAAATAGGTAAAGATAACTAGAGATATGCTTTTGATTAGGATTCCCAGTGTAAAGTCTTCCTTACATTTGTGAGATTGGTGAGCCACTAGCCCACCCTTCTACATGCAAACAGAACCCAGTCTTATTTCTCATTCAGCTCAGAAGTGTGTCTCAGACATACTGTATGCCTTCCTTCTGAACCATAGTGGAACCTTGATGGCTGTATGAGTTCCAGTAACATTGGACTGTTAACTGAAAGGTCAGCCGTTCTATCCTATCAACTGCTCCGTGGAAGACAGATGAGACTGTCTGCTCCTGTAAAGACTGGCAGCTTGGAAACCCTTTGAGACTATTCTACTCTGTAGTATAGGGTCACTATGAGTCAGAATCTCCTCTATGGTTGTGGGCGAGTTTCTCAACAGCAGAGAAATTGTATGCCAGGGACCAGGAAAAACCAAGCTAGTCCTTTCTGAGTGGAAAACCAAGGTTCATAAAACACAGGGAAAAGTTTAAGAACATAAAAATAACATTTCATGTGAACAAATAGAAACACTAAATCTGAAGGAAATAAAATGGAAGAAAAGAACGTTAGTGGAAAACCAAGGTTCATAAGGCACAGGAAAAAGTTTAAGAACATAAAAATAAAATTTCATATAAACAAACAAAAACACTAAATCTGAAGGACATATAATGCAAGAAAAGAAGGTTAATCAAAATGTTCAGAAACAAAAGAAGTAAACTCGTGTGTGTGTTTGTGTGTGTGTATGTGTGTGTGTGTGTGTCTAGAGAACAAGGTGTGCCTAATCCAGGCCATGGTCTATTCAATTACTTGTCATGTATCTGAGAGCTGGACAATGACTAAAGGCAACAGAAGAAGAATCTATGCCTTTAAATTGTGGTGCTGGAGAAGAGTAATAAACTACCCTGGACTGCTAAGAGAACAAATAGATCTGTCCAGGAGAGGGTGAAACCAAGTGGCTTTTTGGAGATAGGATTTTGAAAGTTTGTTTCACATAATTTGGGCATGTTGCCAGGAGGAACCAGTTTTGGGGAGAAAGATACACTTGGATGTGTGGAGGATCAGAGCAGGAGAGGAAGGCCCTGGATGAAATGGATTGACACAGTGACTGTGGCAGCGGAGTAAGACTGGCTCAAGACGGGAAAGAGTTCAAAGCTATTTTCAGGGGGTAATGATACATCATAGTTGAGCCAATGGCACTCCAACAAGAACAGCATTATTATTAATATTTTATTATTATTATTCTGCCATAACTTACTCTTTTCTAGTTACTATTTTATATTTTACTAGATAGATTAGCTTGGCTATATTTAATATTGCAGATTGAGCTTCTGGATATTAAAATATATTTAAAATATACTTCTACCTTGTGAAACAAATTTTCACTAGGAAATTTTCACAGTAATTGTTTCTTTTGTCATTTGTATTCAAATTCATTTGTTAAGCCAGAGAATCAGTACTATCTACTAAAGGAGATTGTGGTTTTTAATTACTGCTGATTTACTAATTCCTCCATCAGGCAAACAAAATGTATCCTTTTACTCAAAAGAATACCTCAAACTTGTTTCCATTGAGTCAGAACTGATGTGTTACTGGTCCTCCAGCGGGTGTTCAAAGGCTGTTCTACCAACCTGAAAACACAGGGTTCAAATGTGTCATTTATTGCCTCTGAAAATCCATTGAAGAGTCATCTATCAATTGGTCCTTACTTGATAACACATAGCATAGTATACCATACCATACCAACCATATCACAACGTCCTATTGCACAGGAGAAAATTGTCCATCTTTCTCCTGCAGAGGAGCTAGTGAATTCCAACTGCCTACTTTTGGGTTGGCAGCACAACTCCCTACACACCAGACAACTTGAATTCTCCGAAATTTTTACTACTAGAAGAAATGGCATATGATCATGTCTAATATTAATTTGACTCAATGTGACCTCATGTGTCATGTAGAAGTATATTTTATAGATTTTTTTTCAAGGCTTTAGCCATTCAAAATCCATTTTCCCCCCAACTTAGTAGTCTAGTGCTTAAACATTTGTGCCGTATAGAATCTCCCATGAGCCGAGTTGTTGCTATTGTTGTCGTGTTCCATCAAATCAAATATGACTCGTAGCAACCCTGTGAACAATGGTTCTGAACCTTGCCCTATCCTGAGCCAGTCTCACCAGCTCTGACAAGCCTGACCCTAATTACTATAGTCACTGTGTCAATCCAGCCTATCCAGGATCTTTCTCTCTAGAGCTGACCTTCTACACTTCCATGGTTCCTCCTGGCAACATGCCCAAAGTATGTGAAATGAACTTTTAAAATCTTTGCCTCTATGGAGAAATATGGTTTCACCCTCTCTAGGACAGACCTAGCAGTTAACGGTGTGTTCAATACTCTTCACTAGTACCACAACCGAAAGGCATAGATGATTCTTCTGTTATCCTTAGTCATTGCCCAGCTTTCAGGTGTATTGAAAGCAATTGAGGAAACCATGGCCTGTATTAGGAGAGGTCCTTACCACCACATTTTCCCAGTTGCAACCCATCTTTTGATTTCCTGACTGCTGGTGCCAAGGGTGTTGATTGTGGAGCCTAGAAAGATGAAATCATTAACAACTTCAATCTTTTCTCCACATATAATAATATTGCCTATAGCCTCTTTACTGAGGATTTTGTTTTCTTGATGTTGAGGTGCAATCCATATTGAAGACTGTAGTCCTTGACCTTTTGCGTCAAGTGCTTTAGGTTCTCCTCTGTTTCATTAAGCAAGGTTGTTGATTGTTCCTCTAATCCTGGTTCTGCATTCTTTTTCATAAAATCCAGCCTCTCAAATATAGTTTGAAAAGTATTTAGAAAGTAAGTGTCTTTGACACACTTCTTTCTTTATTTCATACAACAGTTTCGTGGCATAGGTCTTCTGGGATTTTGTTCTTTTTAATGTCAGACACAATTTGTTGTGAATCACACAGTTGAATGTTAATAAAACACCAATATATATCCTTCTGGTACTCTCTGCTTTTACCTTCTGACGACAGCAGTGATGCCGCTAGTGTTGTGGCTTCTTCTAAATCTGGCTTGGGTCTCTAGCAGTTCTCTGCTGATGTACAGTTCGAGCCATTTTAAAATAATCTTCAGCAAGATTTTGCTTGCATTTGATTTTGTCGGATAATTCTCACATTCTATTGGATCACCTTTTACTGGGAATGGTAATAAATATGGGTGTCTCACAGGCAGATGGCCAGGTAACTGTCCTCCAGATTTCTTGGCACAGCCTGGTGAGCATGTCCAAGGCTCCATTGGCTGGTTGAAATATGTTATTTGATATTCCATCCATTCCTGGGGCATTATATTTGCTAATTCCTTCAGAGGAGCTTGAGTTTCTTCCATTATTACCATTGATTCTTAACCACCCTTCTCTAAATAGATTTTTTTTAAGGATATATGGTTTTATTTTACATTGATTTGCATACAAAATTCATATACATTATGTTTCATTCACATCCATTGTTTCACACATCCCTTTCATTCACGTCCTACTTCATATGAGCATTCCCTTACATTCCATTTTATAAAACACATCACCATTCATCTTTGACCACTATCTAAATAGATTTTTACTGACCAACACCTATTTATAAATCAAATGCACCACGCATAAATGCTATTGTTTTAATACTTTGGTCTTCATCGTCTCTTAGAAAAGAGCCTCTTTCGTGTCTCTGTTAGAAGGATTTCTCTATCGAGTATTTTACTTGCTATTGATGGCATCTTTAGTATGAACATAGAGAAGACTAGAAGTGTGCCCTCTGGGGGCAACCAGAGTCCATGCTCTAAGAGAGTAATTAGGTAGTGAATTATGTCTTTTAAAAATGAGATCAGATACTTCTGAATTTTAAGTATCTAGATAAATAATACTGTCATTAGACTTATATCATCTTCATTTCTTGACATTCAGTATTCTTCTTTTTAAAAAAATTTATTATAAATTTCAATTAAAATTTACGGAGACTTTGGATTTCCCATTCCTTCATTGTTGCATTTTTCTCCCCTCTCAACCCTTCCCCCTAGTACACTACCCTTTTGGAAAAAGAAAAGAAAAATTCTTTCATTGTTTTACAATCCCTCCCCCCAAGTCCACTCCATTATGAAGCCTTCACTCTGGACTCCTGTCATGACAAAAACACCTAATCACATGTCCCCCCCTTTTTTTTAAATTTAGGTTGTTTATTTTTCATTTCAATGAACAT